ACGCACGACTACGGTTCCACCTGTGAGGTAAACGATCTAAATATGCGCGCACATGAACCTAGCTCTCAACAAAACACACGTTAGGTCAGTTACTGTGATTTAGAAAAATCGCTTATGAAACAAATATTGAGCCCAAAAAGGAAATTTGGCCTGAGAATACTAAAGCGCTGGATTAATTTCGCTGACCATACAAGTACTGTCAAGTTGGTACACAGCGCGACCCTCTTAAAGCAGACAAACTGCTAGTTTTCTTTTTCTCCTCCTTAAAATTGGACAGATAATATAAAAAGTATTAGAGGAGTTAAAAGTCCTCATTCAGGGGAGTAACCTCGTTGAGGAAGTTTTATTCTCGCCAATACACTGTCCGAGCAAAACGCAGAAAAGTGCCGATGTCGTCTTTGAATGTCGCGCAGTGAGTGTGGCCGCTACGAATGTGATAGACAAATCGGGGTGCTCGTGTTTCCACGTGGAAGGCAAAATAAGCCGAAGAATGGCGAGGCTTGGCTCACATACGGTAGTAGCGCTCATTCCATGATAAAAGGATGTTGGTACTTTGGTAAATCGGGTTATTTAACGCTTTAGAAATGAGTACAGCTAATCATATTTGCGCTTCGTCACATGCAGATTGCTATTTTGAGTCAACCCGTTTCGACGCCTCGTCGCTCGCTCGACAAGGCCCAACTTTATCAGTCCAACGTGCATTGTGTAGAGAGATGGACAATCAACTTTTTTAAATGAGCTCGATTCCATTGTGAACCCTTTTCGGCATGACATTCAGTATTGTAGATTTATTAGAGAACAGAAAGTCCTAGTTAAAGCATATGTGTTAGTGGAAAACTCAACGGGTCGTCCGTTTTCGTTTAATACCCTAATATGCTCTCGGCAATGATACACTGGAGATCGCTTTGTCAACTCTCAAACAAACAAAGTTTCTCGGGCGGAGCCTGGGGCCCGAGTAAAATTCTGATGCCAGCGTGTCATAACCGATTTTAACATGCTCTTAGCAATTCGCTGAAGCTTCGACTGTATTTTTCTCTTCACTAATACGCACGTTCACAGCTATCTTCTTTTTGCACATTGTTTTGAACACGAGTGTTTCAATCACGTTATATAAATGACAAGCTCTAGAACGTTCAACAGCACTCTCTTGTGTGTGGGTGTATGTTTATATTATAAATGCGTAAAATGTTCTGGTGTGAATACAGATACATTTTATTTTAAGTGCCGCACGTCGTGAATCCCAGTGGCCACTTTTATAATAGCCGAGTTGCCCGTGTCACATTTTTACATGAATATGCAGACACTCACGCGTGTGCAACACGTTACGTCGTTGATCTGTTTACACTCCGCTTGAATCTCTTATGCAAATGGCTCTCTTCTTCTTTCGTGTGTAAAATACAGTAGGGTTTGGCATTAAAATGGATTTCACACACTCTAAGGAATATGAAGCGTCTACTTTCCCGCAAAGAACTTTGAAGAGCTGATTTCTGATATCTACGGAAGCAGCTCAACGAATGGCGATGTTAAAAATTGGTTTACACAAAGGAAAATAGTCTGGGCAATGACACTGGATAAGAAATTTTATCTTCAATGACAATTACAATGATAATAACTATTACAATTACAGCGCAGACCGGGTTCTGAGGTCTTAGCGCGTGTTGAGTTTCGCCATTTGCCGTAGAATGTAGCGACTGGTTCCCGCATGTGCACTGCAGGTTGGTAGACACCCTAGATTTCTTGGGGTGCATTATGATTCTCAAATGTAAAGCAGCGCTCAATTGCACCCGACAGGGTGACAGCGGTGGACCCGTGGTGCAGAAAAAGGACGATCGTTGGCTTCTCCAAGGTGTGTTGTCCGGAGGTCCCCATGTCTGCGGCGACAAGAAGTACCCAATGCTCTTCACCGAAGTGTCAAGTTTTCTGGAGGAGTTCATCTACCCGTATATGGCAGCGGAAACGCGGAAAAAAAAGGCACTTCTATGTTCGCTTTTATGACGAGGCGATGCGATGAGTGTGAATTTGTGACGGCAACGGGACCTTTCTAATATTATCTGTTGCTCGACTGAATAGCAATAAATGTCGAAATAAATAGGACACTTGTACATACATAAATCATGCACTTTATGTGGTCGTTCGTTTTCCTCGTAATTGGCTCAGATAGGGTCATTGCGCCCAACCACTAATTGCGGTCACACTCAGAGTGTTGTCACCGAGGTTTCGGGAAAAAAATAATAATATATTTTTAGAATGAATTGTGATACTTTCGAGCACGATTTAGGGTTTTTCTTTGAAGGTACTGTGTAGACCAACACAGTGCCGACAAACGAGTCCGCATTTTCCCACACCCCGTGTGGGCTATGCGCGTGCGCAGAAACCAGACCCGCGTCAAGTGATACGTCTACGCATGCGCCGTTTCAAGAGCAGCGCCACGGCAGCAGTGTGACGTCAGATATGCGTGTTGTTGTATTATTACCTGCTTCCTTCCTCTATAAATCTTGATGTCCTTATTAAACCCAGGATAATTGGCGTCTACTAGGAAGGCCGGAGGCCCATACCAAAAGGCCTAATACACCTAACAATAAAAACTGTGCAATGGGAAATGCACGCACACTCATACACACACACACAAGAAAGCATAGTAGGCACACGCGCGTAGAAAGGTGAAGTATGAAAGGTGATGAGGGAGCGGTTCAGAGAATTCGAAGGGAGTGTCTAGCGTCCCTACTATATTCCTTGGCGTTCGTCTACCTTGCCAGGATACTGGCCGTCAGCGTGTTTGGCGGTGAACGCAATAGCTGCAGAGTTCTTATACGAAAGGATTGTCGGTGATGCTCCGCACGTGCCAACTGGGATTGAAGTGCACAACTACAGTTGTATCGGATGACGCATGTAGCTCGTAAGTCAAGTTTAAAGTCACCCAGAAATAGCTGCCACACAAATATAGCTCTGTCTCTTTCGTCAAACTGCCTCATTCACTGAGTCTCCAACAAGCGTCATCATGCAGTGTACCGTCTATCGATGTAACCAATGCCATATTAACTTCACAACGGGAAAGAATCACCGCGCATAACATTCAGCAAATCGACCGGGAATGAAATGCTGAAGTGCTGATACTGTATTACTATTATTAAGCATGTATTTATTTACCAGTTTCTTTCTAATCTATGTTATACTTATATTATAAAGAGGGGGAATTGGAATGTGGTCAGGAGGGGGGATATTGAAGACTTCCGTCTTTATAAAGATTCTTATAATTTTGCTGCCGCGACGAAGGCGGTGCTGCGACGTGTGCCTCGGGCATGTACACTCACCAAGGGAACTGGGACGTAGCTTGGGCGGCAGTCTTCTGATCACTTCTTCTAAAATCCGGTTCTGTTCCGTGCAGTACCATAAAATATTTGCGCTTGTGTATTGTTGCCCACTTGCGCATCGACTGCAGGACGCGTCATCGTCGCGTTCTTTTTCGTCAGTGTTCTTCAGTACCTGGTTCTCAAATTCGGCTCGGACTGCTGGGAACGCGGCCGTTACGGTTCGGAATCTCCGGAGATGCACAGTAGCTCTCCAACCGTATCCGTTCCGTAGTGGGTCAGCGTGTTCCTACAAAAGATCACGCAGGACCCCTCGTCATCGTAGTGCTCTTGGGTTATTTCTGGCGGAGTGTGGTCGCGATTTGCTCTTTGGCCTGTTGTGGGGATGTAGGGACAAGAAATGAGCTTCCGCGCAGCCTTCTGCGCTCTCTCGTTCCCCTTAATCCGGGTTTCACCCAAGTCCCAAGAAACGGTTACTCTGATTCCTCTGGATTTGAAGGTCGTCGGTCTTGCCTTGATCTTCCGGCACGTGTCTACGTCCTCCTTAGAGTCTGTATAGATATATACGTTTTTGAAACCCTCTGGGGTTAGGAACTCGGCTTCCACGCAAGTAGGATAGATCAAAGTACTGAAACACTAGATCACGTACATTTTGCCTATTTCACCTCGTACAAACATATGCTAACACAGTGAAAAGCCTTGCTCTGTTTCAGTATATCTACATACTCGAGGCCGAGGATTACGGCACCAGGTTACTTTATGTCAGTGTTAAAATCGGCTATCATATTCCTTCACGTTGTACCTATCAACGCACCATTTTTTTTCTCGTGCCAACATAGTTCATTCATTAAAGTCTTATTTTTATTGGGCTAAAGTGAATTCTTATAATTATTTTAGCTGATCTAATATTAATAACGAAATATTTAAATGCATTTTTGTACTTTTGTCTCTTCTCTGGGATATATACTATAAATATTGCGGTCCAGTGCCAGTGTCTATGGACTACCAGTGTATGTCATGGGCACATGCAGCGGCTATGTGATTTCGTTACTGACGTTTCTGCAAGATATTAGTAAATTCGCGTACTAGAAAACCATATTTCTAAATAAATAAAAAGTTAGCGCATTTCAGAAGAGGCGCAACTTAAGTATTGCTAAGATACATCAGTATGTTAGAAGTCGTTGTGTGGCAGTGATGCTGCCTTTAGGCTATTCTTTTTGTAACATGCGTGTCGCACTGGTACCGAATGAGGTAAGCATGTTAAACATTTATCGCAGAACATTATTGCCAGCTATAGAAGCAATGAAGGTCCTATGTTCTTTTATCGGAAAAGAGGTACCAATTTCAGGTTATCAGCTCATGTTTGTTAGACAATTCAGACTTGTTCAATAAGCAACGAAATGGGCTCGTGTAAAAAGACGGTTAGCTTGCAACTTGAGCTATATCTTTTAATGAATAACGTCCCAAAATGACAATTACCTTGAAGAAGTGCCACCAACAAAAAATAAACAGATCTCAGTGCATAAACATATCGGCGGGATCAATTCTTCACACACACTGCTATAAAAGCTAGAAGGGCAGATAAAACACCCGGTTTCTGTCTGATAGCGACACACCCAATGTCGCACGATAAAACGACTTATGGCGCTCTAGCGATTGCTTCATATAAAGGACACCATATCAGAACTCGCAGGGCAGTCTTATCTATAAGCGCAGGCGTGTGAGGTTCCCAAGCAAAAACATTTGCACGGTGGTTCAGAAACTGCTCACGTGCTGAGAATAGATTCAGGCTATGATTATGAAACCTCTGTCCTGCATTTTTTTCTTCGAACACCTGCTTGTAGCACTTGGACTGGAACTAGGTAAGTTCCATTCATTAATTATCCATTTATTTATTTACAGTGTTAGATTTTCGGGGCTGTTAGAGGAGTGTAGATGTACACATGAAAAAAAGACTTTCTTACGCGTCGCATAATAATAAAAAAGACAAACTGCAGTCGAAGCACGCGTGAGTATAAAAACATAGTAAATTTACAACAAAAAAGAATTAAGAAACACGTGCTATATATGGATGACGTACCAAACGTGAACTCTAAGTGTAGAGTCTCCTCTACACGACGATTGCCAACCGTGTTGCGGAGTTGCCACCCCGGAGTTGGAATGATTCCGGAATCATTCCACATTTTCGCGACCCCGGAATGGAATGGGAATGGAATGGCGGCAACGTTGAGGGGAATGGAATTAGATGCATTTTGCCCGGAATGAAATGGAAATGGAATGGGCCCGGTTCTTTGTATTTATTTATTTATTTATTTACTTTTTTGGGGGGGAGGGGTGGAGGGGGGGGGGGGGGTTACGTTCAGCTAAACAAAGCCAAGTCAGTTGCTGGGACGAAAAAAAAGGATGCGCGGGAAACTGCTAGCAATGCAAAGTACAAGCGTCGGAGCAAAGGCCAAAGGGGGGAGGCAGTGGCGGTGGCGCCTTTCACGGACGTGCAGACGACGGGCTTCACTGGTGTTACACGGGAGCTAAACAGGAAACCAAGCACCAAGGAAAAGAAACGAAGGAAGCGCGGCAAAGCAAGAAACCGCCATGCACGGCTCCTCATCATGCTTCTTGTATTGCTTTTTTTTCTTTTTTTTTTTCTTCTTTTTTTTTTTTGTGACGGCATGGCGAATGCACGCGCGGATACAGGCTGAGATCTGGGAGCGGGGGGCAACTCATAACTCGCAGAGCTGTGATAACTCGTTGACACGCACGCCACCACAGAAAGATGATCGGTTATTGTTTTCTTATAGTTCGAGGACCGTTGTTTATCAGGCAGCCAACCCTGCTGCCTTCCACGTTCATTCGCGCGCACTCCTTTGAAGTGCGAAATCTATGTGTGCTTCGGCATTAAAAAAAAAAAAAAAGCGAGATTCACTTCTCACTTTTCTCTCGCGCCTTGCTCCGACGCTTGTTTTTTTTTATACTGCATTTTTCCGTATAAGTCCGCCTTTTACTTGGTCTTTGTTGGGATGCTTGTTTTCTGTGTTATTTGTTTTACATTCAAGTGGGTTTGGGTTACAAGCAAGATAGCGGATGCCCACTCATATCTTTTTTTTTTTTTGCTTTAATCTCTGCATACCTTGTTTCACCTTGCGATGGACCGCTGCGGACGCTTCGAGTCACCCCCGGGCAATCCCGCACCGTGAGCTTAGTAAGATCAGTGCTTGTTTGAGGCATTTAGCATTTTTTGCTATTGTGTATATGCGTTTGACAATGTCAGCTTTAAGGCCTGTTCACACATACAGCGGAGCGCTAAGTTTGCGCTACGTGAGCGCTCGAAGGAGCACTCATGTGGCGTTTCCTAGCGCGTGACTTCGTTCTAATAGAGCGCGTGAATAGCGCTCTAGTAGCACCTTGTTAGCGCTTCAGTAACGCCGCGTTATCGCTTCAGTAGCCCTTCTTGTACCGCGGTGCTGCCGATTAGCGCGTGCGCCGCGGTTCCGGTTCCTGTGGTTGGGTGTGCATCAGCAGCACCATGGCGGACATGTGGGATGCTGAAATAAAAACCCGACAAATGCTTTTACATACGCAATTAGTGCATATGTGTGTGGACGACTTCACGCCTAGAAGCATACAGAAGAATTTTTTGGGTGCGCGAAATTTTTCGGCACCGAGACCGGCGGGTATCCGGCGAACCTCACTCCCAAACTGAGGGACCGAGACAGAGCTCTTTTGAAGGTTTTTAACTGCGTGTCTTTGAAACCAGGGTCACGCATATCGAATAGAAAGCGATGAGATCGTACCCAATAAAGTAGTCGCTCAGAGTCCATGGCTCTGGATCGCACTGCCCGACCCTTTACTTGGAGAGCGGCTCTTTTACTTTCTCTTCTTTCAATTCCAAAGGAAAAACAACAACAAAGGAATCGCCGTGCACGCGCTGTTCCGCAGCAGCAAGCACGGCACAAGGAGCGTGAGAGCGCTTCTGTAGCGCTAACATAGCGCTTCTGGAGTGTTAACAGATCGCTGCTGTTGCGCTAACCGAGTGCTACGTCACGCGCAAGGAAGCGCCACACGACCGCTCCTTCGAGCGCTCACGTAGCGCTAACTTAGCGCTCCGCTGTATGTGTGAACAGGCCTTTATGCTGCTCATGCAGAATGTAGCTGTCAAGTGCTAATTTTTACGGATAGGAATTAGAGGAATGAAATGGAACGGTTGAGCCATTACAGGAGTGGGAATGGGCCCAGTTGCCCCAATCCTAGGAGTTGAAATGAATTGAATTATCGAAAACACTAATTCCCGGAATGGAATTAGAATGGAATGGGGGTGCCCAATCCGCAACACTGATTGCCAATACACATAAATAAATAAATCACAATGGCAGGAATAGTTAGTTAACTTCCAATCTACGACTGACTGAATTACCTTCCAAACACGTCTCTATTGACACTCTTCACTATTTCTTGATGCAAAGAGTTTCAATCTAAAATATTCCGCCAAGGAAGCAGGAATATTTAAAGGTATCGTCGTTCCGCTCAATTGCCTTCAATTTCTACTATGGCAACACTGAAAACAGTTTTTTTTTTATTTAAGGGGGGGGGGGGGGGGAGGGGGTGTTGTATTATTATTTTGCAATGTCCTCGTTCCGAAGATATGAAATATAAGAATGGAGGCAAATTTCCAACCTCCGTTTCACACCAAGTCCAAGGGCAACCGACTCACCAGTCTGATGCAGCCAATCAAATAGCGCTAAAAGCGCACCGTCACGGCGCTCGCTGTTTTGTGCGTTCACCCACTGCCCGTTCGCGTTCACCCACTGCCCGTTCACCCGTTCGAGCACAGAAAAAGTGCTCGACCACGGCGGACTCACTTTGCGTCGTTGGTTCAACCGCTGATAGGAAACGCATCAAAGCGACGAACGGCGTGATGGTGCACTTTTGGTGCGGTTTTTGGACGTAGTGTGAAATACATTGTCGACTTTTGCAAAAATTGCCTTCTGCGCGCTGCCCTCTTTTTTGTCTGCTGGGGCGCTAAACTCGTCAAACGCAAAGTCGGGGCCGAAGTTCAAGGAGGGCACTGATTGGACTATCTTGGCGACGACTTGGCGCTTTTTTCGCCGGCGTCCAATCAGCGCGCTCCGCGAACTTTGGGCTCCAACATTGTGTTCGACGAGTTTAGGGCCCCTGGGCTGTGGAAGACCTGAGCAAGCGCTGTTGTTCTGGTTTGCGGTTTATCAGACGCTGCGCGTGCTTCCCCATCTCAGTGACTCGGCGTTTATCGCCCGGTTGATAAGCGATAAAAAAAGTCTATAGATATCAAATTGTGATGAACTCTGATCACAGTATGGAATATGGGAAAATTGTGAAATTTCCTAGCTTTGAATCGAAATCCTTTGACTACTTCGGTTTACTGTCGCACGTGTGAAGTCCCACAGATATTACGTGGGTACTTTCGCTTGTATATAAAGATATAACGAAAGTCCACGTGTTTTCTAGAACCATGTGGTCGTCCTCGGATTCAACCTGTCCTCGACGAAGAAGACCGCATATACGGTGGACGCGAAGCCGTGCCGGGCAGCTGGCCCTGGCACGCTGGGATATACACCAATGCGCTCTTTCCGTTCTTTATATGTTCGGGTGTTCTCGTATCTGAGAAGCACGTGGTAACCGCCCGACATTGTCTGTTGTGAGTACCTTTCTATCCGATTGTGCCTCTTTGGTATAGAATCCATCTTCTACATCTACGCGTTTTTGCATGCAAATATTGTTCCCTTTTGAGGCATGCCATTAATTATGCAATTAAAACTCTACTGGACGACGTACACACGCGAAACTCTAATACCTGAGAAATCCTTGGTCATGAATCGAGTATTGATTAAAGCGTGCTTTATTTATTTTGAAATCATTGAGTACGAAAGGATAACCCTACCGAAAAACTCAGTATCACTTTCCCTATCTGGATTATAAAACAGGATATCTATTTCTGGAAATGCGAAATACAAATTGCAGACAAAGGAACATTTTCTAAAAACTGGAAATCCAGGGAAACTCCAGATAGATTTCCAATTCCAAAGCCTAGACAGCGAAAGGTTATACTAAGTTTTTCGGTAGGGAAGATTGTTTTTTTAAGACATCTTCGTGCGCTCTCAAGCACCCCTTACATTTCGTACATATTTTTTATAATAAAAGGAGCACGTTGTGCTAAATTGCTGAATGCATAACCAAAAATTTCATGGCAAGAAAAAAATGTATGTTTACATAGTACGCTCTTTATGGCAACCTTACTTAGGAACACGGACGCTTCATCTAATAACCAAAAGGAAACGGTACTAAACCCTAATGAGTCTAAAAGCTCCCATAAATGCTTATTGCATGAGGTGTACCAGCCCTTTGACTCACTGTTCGGCACAAGTGCACCGACGCGTCACCCCTATTGATTTGCCCCAGTTAAACACGCGTTATGCATTAATAATGCCGAGAGTTTGGAACGAGAGTAGTGGTGGTCTCCAAGGAAGTGGTGAACCCGGCAACACGTCCAGCCGCGAACGCGTATCACTACTCATCTATGGTAATATTGGAAAATGTTTTTTTTTCTTTTTATGTATATTTGGAGCACCTTCACACATATCGAGAGAGGGCCCTGTTCTTAATACTGTTTTATCTTAGCCGAATTTGGCATGTAAATATTTTAGAATAAGTAGCATTCAGCGATCTAGGTTTGATAAAAATCTATATTTTTATATTTAGGAAACATTTTGGAATCTTTTGTTAGCCACTTGAGGGTGACGTTTTGCTATGATATTTAAATATTTTAAAATAAAACGAGTCTCCCACACCTTAATTTCGTTGTTTAATGTACTCAGTGCTTTAAAAAGACCAGATTAGTATATTTTACTAGGCTCGTTTAAGTCTGTAGTCATGTAATACGTGTGCGCGAGAGCGTGCTCTTTTTTTTTCTGACGTGCATCTGATCTAGAAAATAATAAACAAGCGATATTTTATCTAACAAAAGATTTACAAAGAGAAGGTCGAGTACTATGAATTGAAATTTTGACTCAGTTATCGTAAATATTTTTTTAGAGCTTTCCCCTGGCGCATGTGACTAATTTTTCTAAAGAACGCGGGCGTAGCCAATTAAGTCAAACAAAGGAAACATCCAAGCAAATGACGAAGCTGGGTCATTCCATGCCAAAGGAGACGGCAATTTTCGTCATATATTGGATATGCTTGAAAAAAATAATATGAATAAAGACACATTTGAAAGTAAGGATGGCTAAGTTTGAGGGCTGAATTATGTTTATTTTTGCTGACGTCATGCTCCAATGTGCCGCGAATTTTAGAAAACCTCCTGTATTTCAAAAAATTGCTGAACAAAAGCTATCCTTACAACATAATTTTACGTTTGCATGCAATCAAGCATAAATATATTCTATCTTACCTTGAAAGCAAAACACCTTACGCCGCCATTTTGGGTCCAGGAAGGCACTCCAAACCGAAGCAAATTTTTAAGATTTCTTGATTTTTTTTAGACAACTTGAAATTAAAATTTGACTAAGAAATTTTTCTACTTATTTTTATAAACATTATACTCAACTAGGTTGCATTACAACAGTAAAAAATTATTCGGACAGTTTTTAATTAAATGGTGAATATGACACTTTCTTCAAAAACTTCCCTATAGAGGGTAAAACAGAGCCATGTGGGCAACGGTGCTCGCATTTTCTGAAATAGCCAAAAGTTTAACCGACCCCATCTGTTCAACATATCAAAAAATTGGAAAAGTACTTTTTGATATTTTGGAGAAATTATTTTTTAAATATGAGGCAGAACAACATCGCCTCCAGGTGTTTACCTCGTCGGCAACGCACGCCGTCGTCTGGTACGGTCGAGCGAAACACTGCACGGGGAACTTAATTTCGTTAACTATATTTGTATAGCTAACGCTAAGAATCTTGGCATTATGACATGTCTATTTATAGTGACTAGAAAGGGGTTATTTTTTTTTGGTCTAAACAATATGTTTGGGTGCGCTTGCAAGTTGAATAGCGACAACTCGAATACTGTTTGGGATACTTCTTATCAAAGCCGAAACAAAGCACATTTGTAGTTCATCGACATTTCTTTTTTTCTGATGTACATGAATGTAATATATAGTCCAGAAATACTATGTACAGATGTCACTCAGATAAGATATCAATATACTAGAAAGGGCAGGCGAATACTCAAATTTAGGGGTTTTCGATAGGAGCACAACACATAACTTTTTTTCATATAGGGGAGACATATATTTTACAAGTGGTAAACACGCAACATGCTTTTGTTGTGTTATAACCTTCGAATGGCCGTTGGCCTGAATATCCACTCTTAGTTTTCTGCTTCTTTTAATGTTTCCCTCTCTGTATTTCAGTTGCACTATGTATTTGCACCTCAATACTTTTTCGTTGAAAAGGAGGAAAATCACCGTTATCGCTCGGCATCGTTGACGAACTCCAGCGTTCACTATTTCATTTTTTACAAGTAAACGCAGTATGACCAAAAAGGGAAGACGCGCCGTCTGCTAACCAATTTGATGAACCGTCTGCGTTCGCAAACTCGGTTAGTAGACGACGGCTTTGTCTCCAGTCACCTAAACACATGTAAAGTGGAATTAAAGCCTTCAAATTAGCGTGCCAAAAGAATATTATTACGTGGTGGCTAAAATAACACCCACGTCCATCGTAAAGGAAGTTTTCCATGCGAATTTAAGAAATCGCGGCAGACGGTTCACAGCCGTGACGTTCCAGACGTGCGCAGTGTTCTAGCCTATGACATGAACTGAAAGCTAATGAAACACTGATATTCTAAATGTGATATAGTATTTCTTGACTATATTTTATATTTATCTACATAAGAAACAAAAACGTCGGTGAGCTGCAAATGTGCTTTGTTCCGGCTTTGATAAAAAGTATCCCAAACAATATTTCGAGTTGTCGCTATTCTACTTGCAAGCGCACCCGGACATATAGTTTAGAGAAAAAAAAATATGCACTCTCTAGTCACTATAAATAGACATGTCATAATGTCAAGATCCTCAGCTTTAGCTATACAAATATAATTAACGAAAGTAAGTAAACCGTGCAGTGTTTCACTCGACCGTAGCAGACGACGGCGTGCGTTCCCGACGAGGTGGACGCCTGGAGGTGATGCCGTTCTGTCTCATATTTAAAAACTAACTACTCCAAAATAACACAAAGTACTTTTCCAATTTTTTGATATGTTGAACAGATGGGGTCGGTTAAACTTTTGGCTATTTCAGAAAATGCGAGCACCGTTGCCCACATGGCTTTTTTTTACCCTCTGTAGGGCAGTTTTTGAAGAAAGTGTCATATTCACCATTTAATTAAAAACTGTCCGAATAATTTTTTACTGTTGTAATGAAACCTAGTCGAGTATAAGGTTTATAAAAATAAGTAGAAAAAGTTTCTTAGTCAAATGTTAATTTCAAGTTGACTAAAAAAAATCAAGAAATCTTAAAAGTTTACTCAGGTTTGGATGCCTGTCTGGACCCAAAATGGCGCCGTAAGGTGTTTTTCTTTCAAGATAAGATAGAATATATTTATGCTTGATTGCATGCAAACGTAAAATTATGTGGGGAGAATAGCTTTTTTTCATTAATTTTTTTAAATACAGGAGGTTTTCTCAAATTCCCGGCACTTCGGAGCATGACGTCAGCAAAAATAAACATAATTCAGCCCTCAAACTTAGTCATCCTTACTTTCAAATGTGTCTTTATTCATATTATTTTTTTCATGCATATCGAAAATATTACGAAAATTGCCGTCTCCTTTGGCATGGAATGACCCAGCTCCGAATACGATAAGAAAAAATCTTAGCCCTCTACGCAACTACAAACATGACGTTTCACTTGAGCCTTGTACTTGCACACATTGCATATTTTCAGATTTAATTGTATTCTTAGCTTCGTCATTTGCTGGCATCTTTATTATGTTCGGCCTGACTGGTCGTCTTCGAGTTCTCTAGGAACGTGAACTCAGAAACTACCTTAGAGGTATACAAGCCCCTACACCACATATCCTTGCCTTTGATTGTTTCGAACTTGTTATCCGAATAGATGGAAGTACAAATTTCCTCACCAGAGGTATTTTGAAGGCACCTACCACCGCGTTAAACATTTCCTGGCATTTGGTAAGTGCTCCAGACACGCAAGCCCTCCTCGTCATACCGTTTGTGTATAAATGTGACGCCGTCTGTATAGAGGGCAAAACATCTGAGTTTTTGTCACATTCTTTTTTAAATTAATATTCTGTTTTCGTAATTCTACTACATACCATAGAAGCCGTTAGCTTTAAGGATTTTATGCTTTGTGACGTGGAATGGCAGCCGTAAGACGTATGCGGAGAGCAAGTTCGTCTGCTTTTTGCATAGGGGTTGCGATAATGCCAGAACGCCGAGCTCTTATTGGCTGATTGAAAGAAATAGTGGGTAGATCTCAAGGCTTTTAGCATTCAGGTATGCCTAAGATATTTCCAATCAGAGCCAATCAGAACTCGGCATTGTTCTGACGTCACCGCAACCCCTGCAAAAGAAGAAACGACTCGCTGTCCGCATGACCTTTATGAATCTCTGTTAGGTCTGAGTGAGACCTTTTGCAGTTTCGACTTTGATTCACGCGTGAGCGTTGCTGCTTCTCTATTGTGCAGAAATAAAAGCCCAGCCACGATCCGTGTCCACCTTGGTGCTCACATGAGGGACACGGAAGACGCTGGAGAGGAGTCTTACCTCGTGGAGGAAATATGCGCCCATCCGCTATACCAGCCGCCCAACACGGTACTTATTTCGGAAAGTTCGAACACCTTTAAGTTCTTGTCAGATAGGGGACGCAATTTACCCTTTCAAATATAAATTCCCAGCGTAGGTGTGTCGACCAAAAATGCATGTGTCTTGGAAAGTGATTTTTTTAATAAACACGTTATGAGTAGTGATGCAAAATTATCGATAAATTGACTATCAATACAATTGATAGTTTTTCCAAGACTATCGATATAGTGTCTCAGAACTATCGATAGTACTATCGATAGTTTTTCGATAGTCAACTATCGATAACCATGTTGAATAACCTGATACTGGGGCAGAAGTCAACAAATAAGTTGAAGGAACAGAAAAGGACCGGATGACGTCTCAAACTCAGCTACCAGGTTTATTTAGTCCATCTCCTTTTATAGCCCACAATCAGCCACCACCAACACAAAGGGGCGACCTTTAACCAGTTCCAACGCCAAACCCTTCAATCAGTAGACACGGTCTTTGGCTCGGATTTTAAACTCAGTAGATTGACGCCATCTCAAAAAGGTGCGAATAACTGCGAAAAGAACCATCGAGAAAAATCCGTAAATTCCGAGAGTGGTGTTGTGTATGAGATACCACTGGAATTCGGGTTTAAATATTTAGGACAGACATCACGATGTATCAACGACAAATTAAATGAACGAAAAAGCAAAAAAAAAACGTGAACAACAATGCACCGAACTCAGAAATCGCAAAACATGTACACGAATGTAATGACTGCACTGCGATTTGGTCGGGGACAGAAATCATCCACAAGGAGAGGAATGATGCAAAAAGACTATTAGGGAAGACTGTGCGGATAAAATCTCTAGGCAATTGCATAAATCAGGCTTTGTTACAGTTCGGTAAAAATTCCAAAAGTTTTTTTTTTAAGTATAATTTTTTTTCTTTTTCTTTATGTGTGTACCTTTGCCCCGTTTTAGATTAAGCGTGTGTCATCCCTTCATCGCTGGCAAAAAAGTTTTTTTTTGTGTGTGCGTAAAGAAAACATTGTTTGTGTTTCTGTAATGAAATAGGTACTGATTCTTTTGTTAAATTTTGGGTGAGATTGTAGAGTTATCTTTGTGAATCGGCTTGAAGGCCGTCCATAGTACTACTTTGTGTATTAGAGGCTTTGGCGTTTGGACTGTTTAGAAGTTGCCCCTTTGTGTAGGTAGTGGCCGATTGGAGGGTTTGGCGTTTGAACTGGTTTATTTATTTCATTTATTTCAAATACCTTCAAGGTAAGTACATTGAAGAGGGGAGACAGCTGTAAAATATTAACTATAAAGTGCACATATTAGTAATAGCATTTTTAAACAAAACAATATCAGTAATGTTAGCAATCGAGGCGGGAAGGTGGTTCAAGTCTGTAGATGTTTGTAACATAAAAGAATATTGAAATGATGAAGTTTTAAAATTTGGAATACCAACCTTATGGCTATTATCAATGCGAGCAGATATGTAGAATGGTCGAGTAATTAGTTTATGACGAAGGGTAACAATATGATGAAATTTTTATGAAAAAGACCCAAACGAGAGATTTTTAGGCGGTGAGTTAGTAACGGCAGACCTAAAGTATGTTTTATGGTAGTAACGCTGCCAGTGCGATGATAGTTTGTCAATATAAAACGAGCTGAGCGGTTTTGAATGGATTGAACATGAGTAATTAGTGACGAGTGAGCGGGGTTCCACACAGTAGCAGCATCCCTACTGAAAATTTTCATTTGTATGAGAAATTTCTTGTGTCCAATAAACACATATGAATCATACAAGATATATAAGAACATATAAGAACCGTATAAGAACCATATAAGAACTATATAAGAACTATATAAGAACTATATAAGATATATGAGAACACACAAGCACCATATGAGAAACTAGTGGGAACTTTCTTATAAGTTTCTTATGGGGTTCTTATATATCTTATATAATTCTTATATAGTTCTCATATAATTCGTATATGGTTCTTATATGTTCTTTTATGTTCTTATATATCTTGTATGATTCATATGTGTTTATTGGACACAAGAAATTTCTCATACAAATGATTTTTTTTACTAGGGATATTGCAATTTTTGAGGGATTAGTGTTTTGTACATGGTTAGTTCTAATGAAGACGGAGCGAGGAAAAATATTTTTCTTAAGTGTCCTAACATACGGTTAGCACTGTTAATTACATATTCAATATGAATCTTTCAAGAAAGGTTACAAGTTATATGAACACTAAGATATGTGTAAACAGACACTGAAGCGAGGGGATTACTGTTTTGATGATAAGTATAACTCACCGATTGAGCACCTGACACTCTCATCGATTTGCCTTTGTTAGTGTTCAATTCCATTAGCCACTGGTTACACCACAGTGATATACGATTAAGGTCAGATTGTAGAATAGAGTCAGATATATCAGTTATTTTCCGGTAGATTACGCAATCGTGAGCAAAGAGGCAAATAGAAGACGACAAGTTCTGCACCAAATCATTATTGTAAATAAGAAAGAGGAGCGGACCAAGCACTGATCCCTGTGGGACGCCCAAGGTTACTTGAACAGTACACGAATTTGTATTAATAACTGCAACGAATTCTGGGCGGTTAGTTAAAAAGGCATGAATTCAGTTTAATATACAGGAGTCAATGTTAAGTGATTGTAGTTTATGAAGAAGGAGTTTGTGGGAAACTTTGTTGAAGGCTTTTGAGAAATCTAAAAAAACACAATCGGTTTTATTATGATTATCAGGAGAATTATGGAGATCATGCGTAGAGGATAGTAGTTACGTCTCACATAAAAATTGTTTTGAAAGCCATCTTGTGAACTTGTGAAGAAGTCATTAGTTTTAAGATAATTTATCAGCTGTGAGTAAATGACGTGTTGAAATATTTTACATGGCACACATGTTAAAGAAATTGGTCGATAATTGGATGGGTTTTGTCTTTCGCCAGATTTATGTAAACGTTTATTTAACCTTCCCAACCACCCAATCGCTCGGGACTACGCCATGGTTAAGAGACTGCATATAAAGTTTTGAAAGAAATATTGAACAATAAATATTACAATTTGTAAGAACTTGCTGTTAATCCCATCTATTCCGGCGCAGGACGAAAGCTTCATATTAGTAATAATGCCAGCAATACCTATCGCGTCAACTGCCACTGGGTCCATAGGCAAAAAATAAAAAAAATGACAATACCGGTACTTGGTTAACATCAGAGGTTGTAAATGACAAACTAAAAACATCATTTAATGCACTTGCACTTTCAGTTACTAGTATATCTATACCGTCAGATGATTGAAGAACAATGTGGACTGACACTTGAAATTAACTACATTCCAAAATTGTTTAGGATTAGTTGATAATATGATATTTAGTGTATGATTAAAAAATGTGATTAAGCTTCCGTAAGAGCTGATGTATATTCTTGATCTGCAGTTTTGTACGCAGCCCACCATGCATCAGCGGATGATCGTTTGGCAGCGCGAAACAGTCTTTTTTTTTACTATTTCGTAGGCGCCTGAGATTAGAGTTAAACCAAGGCGAGTTAGTGTTGCAACGAATCTTCCTTGATGGTATGTCTTTTCAATTAATATTACAACATTTTTAAACAGCATCGAATTAGACTCAACGGAGCGCTCTGAAAACTCAGGTAAGTAATCACTAAGAAACTCAGACAGGTACAAGTTAATTGACGTAAAATCAGCTCTGCTGTAGTCACGAATTAATTTTATTTAGATTTTAGGCGCAACAAATGAAATATTTAAGGAAAAGTGAAGAACTGAATGGTCACTGAGACGTGGCAAGTGTGTTAGTGATGATATGACGCTTGGATGCGTTGTTGCTACGAGATCGAGTATGTTTGATGAACGGTTTGTAACCCTAGTGGGCTCTGAGACAAGTTGAGAAAGGTTAAATCAGAACAGAGTTTAATAAACTCGTTAGCTTCAGTTGAGAACGGGTTCAAACCGGACATACATTAGACCAGATAATGTTGGGGTAATTGAAATCCTCCATTAATATGATTGGCTTTCCTGGATATTGGAGGGTGATTTAGTTAATTCAATTATATAACAAATTCCTAAATTAACAACTGCTAGTGGGTGGTCGATAATATACGCCCATTATCGTTTGTTTATGTTTAAAGGAAACGCAAACCCCAAAAAGCTCTAGTTCACAAGCTACAATGACAGGGTAAGAAACTAATGAGTCAGCAACCGGGAACAAACCACCACCGCCACTTGTCTCATGCCTATCGCAGCGAAATTTATTGAAACGTTTTTTTACAATAAAACAGCTCGCTACCAGACAACTGCTAGAAAGCCATATCTCTGTGAGAGCAATGACGTCGGCGTCGCATGAGTCGGCAACTGAGCACAATTCATCTCGTTTACGGATTAGACTGTGAATGTTAGTAAATAAAACGGGAACGCTTAAAAAAGGGCCAAACCACTTTTCTGCCTGATGCTGATTGTTAAGGTTACATAGAAGTAGACGCTGTTTGCAAACCGGATAGTGGTGTCATAGAAGAAACCTCGCGACGAGGTATGACTACTTCAAAAATACAGTCTCCGATTTCATTGTGCGCATAACACTGGTTATTAACACAACGTTTCTTTTAACTTAGCTTAAACTGGTTTTCCTGGCTCTGTCCATACTCCAGTAGTTTGCACCGAGCTAAACGAGTTGAAAAGCTAAAATCTTCTGAAACAGAAATAGGGCTGGTTTTTAATTTTAACTTGGTTTGCAGGACACTTTCTCTAGTTTTAAAAGATTGAAATTTCACTGAAATAGGATGACGCCTTCCCATTAGAAAAGGCCCCAAGCGATGAGCACGCATGATTTGTTCACGCGATATAATACAGGAAGCTAAATCTGAAAGTAAACAAACCACCTCCGCTTCCGCCTGGGCCCAGGATTCCCCAAGGCAATCGTCTACACCATGAAATACAAGATTATCCCGGCGTGACTGGTCTAGATCTCGTCTAATCTACTGCGCAAAGCATGATTTTCGTTTTGAATGCGCTGAACAGATTGGCTGGCACCAGCCAACTGGCGGTGTAATACATCGATTGAAGGTGACTTCAATTCAGTCGCAGAAACCTTTCGACTGATATTTTTCACCGTGACTTGTGGCTGTTGTGGGTTTGTTGTAGTTCGTTAATAAAGCTCAGTATTCTACTTTGCCCTTCCTCAACCCTCTGAGTTCGCGCATTTGTATCCTGCAACACCCGCATCATTTCATCAAGCTGCTTAGATAGTTCAATATTAGTTGGTCCGGGGTTAGTCTCTACATCCCCTCCAAGCAGCAGCAACAACACCCTGAACGAATTCGCCAAAGCTTCTGGGCATGGAAGCACTATTAGACAGACGTCACTAGAATTAAAACAATAAGAACCGTCATGGCTACTAACCTGCAGGGTTAGAAGAAAAAAGTTGACGATGCGCATCGTGTGCGTGCTTCCATGCGCTCTGACGATCCACGGTGACGAGGCCGGCCTCCTGGGCCAATCGATGATGCGGGTGTCGATGTGGCTGTTCCGGAATGACCGAGGTGAAGCTGGTTGATAACGGAAAAGTTAATTGCCTCGGTTGCCTGGCGCTTGTCTTCGTTTGTGGTACAGGAAACGTCGATGAAAGGAGAGATGCCATCCAGGTCGGTAGGATCCTTTATTCCAGACAGGTTCGCTTCCATGAAGCCAGGCCGGAGACCCAAGGCCGTCCCGCTCAAAAACTACAGGGTTAGAAGAAAAGAAAGTAAAAGCCGTTTACAACTCCGTGTAACGCCGAATTGGGCGCAGCTCTTGAGGAGAATGATGGAAGGGTACTGAGGGGAGGATAAGCGCCTCCTCCCTCCTCCTCACCTCCTTATCCTCCTCTTCCTCTCATTCTTGAATCTCCTCCGGGGGGGGGGGGGGGGGGGCGGTCACGTGACCTCGGGGGTGGGGGTCACGTGACCTCGGTGGAGGGGGGCACGTGACCTCGGGGAGGGGGGGGGGGGTGACGTGACCTCGGGGGGAGGGGGTCACATGACCCCGGGGGGCTCGGGTGGTGCATTATAGGACATTTCCCATAATGCACCGCGCGGTTACGCCGACGCCGCTCAAGCCGGAAACGGGCGCCTAAGAGCTGCGCTCTAAAAGTTGACAATGTGTGTAGTGTGCGTGCTTCCACGCCCTCTCTAGAGGTTGCCCCTTTGTGTTGGTGGTGGTTGATGGTGGGCTATATAAGGAGGCGGACTAAATAAACCTGGTAGCTGAGTTTGAGACGTCGTCTTGTCCTTTTCTGTACCTTCGACTTATTTGTTCACATCTGCCCCAGTCTCAGGTTATTGAACATGGTTAACATTCACCACCTCGCCCGCACCCTTACTATATTATCTCTGACTATCGATAGTTTTTTTAGTATCAATAGTTAGATTTCTGACGACTATCGATACTATTGATAGTGCTATTGTTAGTTTTGCACCACTATAATCCGTCACAATTCAAGAAGGTAAGGGGAGGGTAAGACGGGCCGGGGAGGAGGAAGCCGACGGAACACTAAAGAGAAGAGGTTTTCCCATCTCTTCAGCGTTTTTTCTGCTTCCTCTCCCCCATCCCGTCTTACCGTCGCCCTACCTTCTTCAGTTGCAACGAACTATAGAGCGAACACAGTTGCCGCACCGCCACTCGCCTCCCTTTCTCCACTTCTCGCCCAAACTCCCGTCTTCGCCATCCCTAAAAGCTGAACCAATGATGGCATGGTAACTAACTGCCTGGGCTAGCTGGTGTCCCATTTGAAAAAAATAAAGCGATAGAAAGAGAAGAGGGAGCGACGCAAGCTACTAGTGTTGCAAAACTATCGATAGCAAATCGTCGACAGTACCATCGATAGGTTTACGATAGTCGACTATCGATAATTTTCCGATAGTTTTTCGATAGTCGACTATCGATAGTGCTATCGACAGTCAGATTTCTGACGACTATCAATACTATCGATAGTACTATCGATAGTATTGCATTCCTAGTTATGAGCTAAAATACAGACTGTGATTAGAAACGTATGACTCACCATAGATGTTTTGAGTTTTTAACAACTCTAAAAAGTCCGATGCGTTTACTTCTCCGCAAAGCACTTGAGAGAACCAATCGCTAGATTCCGGTCAACCGCTTCCTCGAGACATATGTTTAGCATAATACAATATCCCCTGTAATAGTCATCATGGCGTTTCAAGTGCTTATGTTAGGCTCAACGTCAAAAAGAAGAGTGTGTATTTAGGGCTAAAATTTTTCAAACTTGCAAGCCTTTTCATATATTATTATTAGTACGTTTATTTTCTATCACAGCGGTAAGGGAACTTGGAGAAAAAAAAAAGTTGAAGAAACAATATGACAAGCTACCTCCTCCCCAGAACTCAATGTTAAAATTTACGTTCAAGAAGCGTCCTAGGTCTAATTGCATATCTTTGGAACTCTGTGTCACCGGTAGTCGCTCTTACTTTCAGAATGACATCGCAGTGCTCACTCTGCGAGAAAAAGTCAAATTCACCGAAACTATATTGACAGTGTGTCTGCCTCAAAACATGGTGGAGATTGTTGTGAATTCTGAAACCTATGTTACTGGCTGGGGACGATTTCAGAGTAAGTACCGTAAAGTACGAACTTCCGTGTTGACGTCAGGTTTAATGTAAAATTAACATAAAAAGAGAAACATTTTTTTTTTCATTTTTTTCATAAAGGTTTAGGTGGATTTAAATATCGTTTAATGTTTTTTAATAATTTAATTGTCTACGAAAAACTTTTTTTTGTGTAGTATTTACGTTATTAGACTAACGTTTGGTGGAGGTCATGGGCAGTTCTAAGCACAGCCCACAGTTCAGTGGCCCCCTTCCATTACTACTGGATTAGCTTGGCTTCTCGGACGAACATGCCAGCAAGCCTGGTGTCTCCCCTTCGCGAAATCCGGTGCGCCCTTCAAGCACAGGCGCAGCAGCGTGTGGCATTGTGTGCTATTCCACCGCCGTCTATTGCCCCCTTTCTCATATTTAGATTTTTGCTAACAAAATTGCTTTACTCTAATTTATGAAATACCTCTTTACAAAAATAATGGCATCGAATTTATCTGTTTCTTTTCTAGCCAAAGCATTTTGGTGCACTACATTTTATTGCACACACATGGTAACTGTAGCAGAACATGCCAGGAATTAAATACAAGTGTGACGAAGAACGATAAGATAATTTACCCCGAAAGTTTGATCACACATTTTTTTTAGATATATTATATTCTTGTTCTTCGGTTGTGTTTATTTTCAGCAAGTTTATTCGTGCCTAGCCTCTATTAATGGCTGTTGTGCATTATTGATTTTCACATATGTGCTTCTGTGTTATGTGGGCGTTTAACAAAATAACCAAAATAATCCAGACTCTTTTCTTTTTCTTCCAGCCAGTAAGGTTTCACTTTCACGCAACTTTTAAACGCTTCTGAGATAAAGCGGGATAACATTAACATCCAAACATCTTTAATGTGGAAGTTTTTCATGATCCTTAAAGAAAGCTTGTTGGGAACTCACAAATATACAACATTTAAGGTAACTATTTTATGTGTTTGTTGATTTTGATGCATTATAATAATGCAGATCAAGGACGAGAGCTGTCCCCGTATTTGAAACAATTCCGCACGAAAATCGTATCAAACAAAACGTGCAACCAAGTTTACAAAGGCCAGATTCCTGAAAGTGTTACTTGCTCTGGTCACGACTTTGGATCATCTTGCAAAGTAAGCTATCCTTCCTGCAACTTACAGATATTGCAGTTATTAGAAAGACACTACCCGGCGTATATCAGTGACAGAGTAGTCATGAACGTCAAAATCTTTCTTCGAAGGTAGTAATTAATCAAAAACCGTTAAGCAGAATGTACTTTCAATTTAACTTAATTTGTTTTTCATAAAACACTTTTTCAAAGAATTGCTTTGTAAATTTGACGGCGTAAGATAATACTCAATTAATAGGCGAAAGATTTTATTTCAGAAGACTTCAATATTTTTAGTACGAATATTAGTGTACATATTATAAAATTAGAAATATACAGTATATTTTGATGAGCTTATAGTAAGGTTAAGTACTAAAATGCGTTTAAAAGAAAAGCACTGAATAAACAGAAACCATGAGGTAGAAAGATTAACCGCACTAACAACGGAAATATTATTGATAGCAGGATATTATTAGTACTGACTATCTGGGTGCTCGTTCAAGAGGAAAAACGCTGTATGCCAGCTATTGCGACGGCGCGAAGATACACTTGCTTTATGAAGCAAAATGCCTCGTAAGTATATCGGGTTGTTTGCTCTGTGGAACTCCCGAAACTTGCTGTTCTTTCCAATTCCAGGTCGCCTGGGCACCTATCTCAGCGCACTACTAGATTGCCCGACGACGACTGTATTGTAGACTACGCATGTTCTCCTGCGCTCTCGTTTAAACGGTGAGGACCATAAACGAGAGGGCATGAGAACATGTCTGGTCAACAAAATAGCCACCGTAGTGCACACTGGTAGTGCATTCCGATGAGTTCACCCATGCGACCCGGAATTAGAGATAACAACCTTTCTCGGGACTTGCGCAGATAGAACAGGTCGAGAAATTTACGAGGTATTTTGCATCAAACAGCAAGAGGAGAGCACAAGTATGAGTACGCCGTCACTTCCCCTGACAGAAAGGGAACATCCAGATAGGCGGCACTAATGGCATATTATTTTTAATAAACCTTCAGTTGTGAGTTCATTTTGGCTCTATTTATCGGTCCATGTTTATTCTGCATTGTTATACCTACCCATCTACACTAGCCCATCTTTTTATCCTAATTAAGAAGGGTTAAAGGGTGCCCCCCAGAGGTATAGACGTCGTTTTATAAAAGATTGTTTCTCCTACAGACAAAACGATGTACAGTAAAACATACCAACAAACAGCCTTATTAAGATTTAATATAGCCTCTTAGAAAGGAGAGATTCCTAAACATAAATTTCCAAGTCCACTTCATACCGCATGAATCATAATAATAATTTTTTGTATATATTTTTAAGTGTGTTTAGTTCTTTACTATATCGATTTTAGAACTTAATTTTTTTTTAGTTTCTGATCTTCCCGTTTCGTGATTACTTAGAATTCAAAACTTTAATGAAAGCAAAGTACGCTGGCTTAGGCTATCAAAACTCGAACTGAGGAACTTTCAAATCTCAATACTGCTGATTTTTAGCTCGGTAGCTCAATGGCCCCACGAAATGAACCGACTAATGACTGCATCAGAATTCCTATTTCTCGTTCATATTAAGCATAGGATCTGCAAATTTATTTGGCGGTTTTTTTTTCAGATGAGGGCTATGTCTACTTTCATTTTGAATGAAGCGTAAGTGAAACAAATAATTGCACTTTCCATAAGCGTAATTCTATTTTTCTTCAGGGTGACAGTGGCGGTCCAATGGTGCAGCTGTCTGGGAGCATCTGGCTTCTACAAGGCATCGTGTCCGGAGGACCATCATCATGTGGTCTCGACGACGATCCTTTACTTTTCACGAAGGTTTCTTATTTTGTGGACAACTTTATTTCATTATACACCAGAGCCAAGACTCTACAAGAAAAGAATCGTGTATGCGCGCTATCTTAGTAAAATCGTACTTAAGATATATAAAAGAATACGTAAACGAAAGGCTGTTTATGCGGTGAAAATTCCCCGAAGTTTACCTCTCTTTGTCTTGCGGATTCTTGGGAAATTTCTCATCAGGCGCAGAATTACGGTACCTGGAACCCGTCTTCCATAGGTCTGTTTAGTGTCCTATTCGATCCAAGCATCCGTCGGATGCTGCAATCTTGTCGCTCTAGTCCTAGAGGTTCCGGCAGAACTCACGATCGAACACGAGTGTTCCTGTCTTCGCGGCGTGTCCACCCCTGGCTGACGAAGCTTTCGTGGAGAGTAAAGCTGCAGAGTGACTTGCAGAGGAACAGGCGTCTGGCACATCCACCTGCGCTGCTGTTAATGCATCAAGACAAAAACAGCATGACGGTTTATGATGTCATGAATCGGCAATCGAGGGAGCAGATTTGAGGATGCTGTAGGCACTTTAAGCACCATAGTAGACGTAATTCCATCCTATGAAGTGAGTTTCATTTTCTGAGCAGCTTCGAGGCGCGTATCACAAGGTTGCGGATATTTTCTTCGAGATGCAAGTTCTGCAGCCACTGCCAGTCTGAGAACGGCAGGAAGTGTCTTCCGGAGGACCGGCCTGCAGCACGCGCTTGCTTGTTACTGCCGTGCTGTGGATTTTTCCTGAACGCTCCAGGTCTACTAGACGCTGTGGCGTTATCGAAGGTAGGAAGCTGGCGCTGAAGGCGAGACACCCGATGGACTTCCCGTCCATTCTTATCCTAATAGTGGTCCCTTAATCAAAAGTTTGCATTAACGGGTAGAATACGACTTCGCAGCAATACATTTTGCGTCCAAATATTTATTACACTCTCTAACGGAACGCTGTAAAACCACAAAGAAAACGTTGTGAAACCAGGGTTATCCCTGTAATAATATCCGCTATATGTTAAAAATTATGGAAAATAAATAAATTTTATATTAAATATTTAAAGAAAAGATAGTCCTGTTTTTATTCACTCCGGGTGAGTTCAAAGATTCAGGGCATGCGGTGTCGTCTGTATCTTGACAACCGTGAGGTTTTAGCCGGGCGAAGTGATGAAGGTAGGTGGACCAGAGTGGTGGGACGTAGGGGTGCAGCCTCCAGGAAGCAGTCTTCTGGGAGCGTAATTGATGCGGCTTTCTTGTAACTTGCGCCAAGCAGCCCAGTCATGGATTCGCGCGTGTCCCAAACGCTCAATCTTGGCCCCCGGCTGCTGGCTGTTCCGTCCTGACTCTAGTCCTCGTGCACTCGTTCGTGTGTACTTCCTCTCTGTCATCTCTGATTCTTCTAATCATATCTGCACCATCAGAGACAGCCTTTTTGTTGAGATAAGTTGCTTATATTTCTTACGGGGTTTTGGTGATACGGGCCTGCCTACTAAAATGTTAAATTCTTTGGACTTATTTTTAAGTTGCACTTCCTCAACTTTTCAAATTTTATTCAAGGTCACACGGTACCCCCAAAGGCGCACACTGCTCGGGCTACCTGAACAAATTGCATGCATTATCGATAAATGCATCGCTGTACAAAATTCCCTCTTCAAAATATTCCTTTATGTTTTTTTGTTTTTTTCAATCACGCTTTGACAGCTGGAGGGAGTTGGCCTCCACCTTTTGGCTCCACAAGCAACCCTATGGCCACTCCTCACCCTACACTTTAAGGACATGCTCGGGATGCAGTGGTGGCAAAGTTACGGGCATGAGGCTCGCTGTCTCACTTTTTATGGCTCAAATTGACAGATTAGAACAATATCTCTCGTTTGGCACCAAAGCCAGTGCGTTAGCACATTACAAATGCAAGTAAACGGACATCATATTTTCGACAATAGGCAAAATGGCTGGCAGTCGCCACGGGCCCTCATCGGCGCAGTCGTAGATTCCAGATCGAATATAACCAAATCCATTTCAATCGGACTATTAGTCAGGAATTTATTCTGTCTAAATAAATCACCCTGGTACTATGCTACCCCATGTGTAGAGGCCTGGATATCCTCGGATTAGGGGCCGATCACTACGAATATCTGCAGTAAACTGGCGGATACGGAAAAAAAATTAATCAGATTTGGCAGATTGCCTAGAGAAAATTACCCAGACGGGGATTCAATTTTCCCTTATACCAAGAAAGACTTGATTTTCGCCAAAATCGCTTTAGAGCATTCTCTCTCGCAAAAAAGTTGTCCCTAGAAAAAGATAAAAAAGTACAGGTTCAGAAATTGTCCTAGTAGAGCCTTTGCATGTTTGGCAGGGGAAGAGCAGAAAATGTGTTTTACCAAAGAAAAGCCAAGAACGTACAAGCCACAAGGAAGTAGAAGTCTCCTACCACGTGAAGTGTAATGTCTGTGTGCGTTTTATTTATTTATTTCTCGACGGTTGGCTCGCTGGTACGTGGTTTGGAACACGCTCTTCAGGGTCGTGTTTCAAATCAAAACCGAGAGGAGGTATTGCCATTATTGAATATTGTGATATTTTCCCAGTGATGTACTCGCGTCTCGCCACTTATATACGAGTACTTCCCTGCAGCGAGTGACAACCTTTCTTCTTCCACTTTTGTTGTATTGATTTCCCCTAAATAATATGGCACAAACTTATTAGCGTGTTCTTTATAGATATTATGTTTTTAAAATAAGGGTCTGCTTAAAATAGGTGTTGCAAAAAAAAAAAGTGAATATATTCTTCCGTTTGAGCGAATGTTCTGTACTCCGTTCACCCTGAAGCTGAGACGAGAGGCTCCGCCCTCAACGGGAGTACGCTGTCTTCCGCAGCGCTTTGGCTGCCCATGCCTGCGCTTTCACATTTGTGTTACAAAGGGCAGAAACCTTGCGCTGAAGGCGGAGCTCCTTCTCTCACCTTAAGGATGAACGGAGAGAATGTCGCCGACTTCCGGGGCGGTCTCTTAACTGCGATAATCTTTCCAGCGACGCACATTGTCTCCGGAAGGATAATCGCTTACAGTACAAATACGACAAAAATGACTATCTCCATATTCTGACTCGAAGAGTTCTTGTACTATCGGGGAAAAATGAAATGCGAACAGAGGAGCGAGTGGCTCGCGGTACAGGCTGCGCCGCCTAGAAGTGAACCTAGGAGCGAGGGTGCGTGGCCTACTCCGACGTGTTCACGCCCCTCCCTCTGCGCTCTCCAAGCTTCAGCAGTGCGCCTCTTAGTGCGCTGAAAGCTATCACCGCTATCTTTGCTGGCTCAGCGCGTGCGGTGCAAAGAAGCTCGCCGCACTCGCCGAGCAGGCAAAGATAACGGTGTCAGCTTTCAGCGCACTGAGAGGCGCACTGCCGAAGCTGGGGGAGCGCCAATCGAGGGGCGTGAACACATCGAAGTAGGCCACGCACCCTCGCCCCTAGGTTCACTTCCAGGCGGCGCAGCCTGTACCGCGAGCCACGCGCTCCTCTGTTCGCATTTCATTTTTCCCCGATAGTACAAAGGTAAGGAAATGGCGTAAAAAATGCCATTAAGGCATTTTATTTTAATCCACACTTGGTTTAATGATGTAGCATGAATACGTGGATTGCGGGTTGGGTGCGCTTCCGAATTTCGCGAATGCGGTTTGGATTCGGATGCGAATTCGCCGGATGCGGATCGGAAGCACATAGAATAATTTAGAGACACTGTGGATACTGTTCGAGACCGGATACAAAGTCTGAGGATGCGGATCGAATACGGAAGATCAAACGATTATCTGCGCAGGTTTTATCTTAAAGACGTATTCAGATCAAACAGGATAAGTGCACAGAAAGTGCTTAGTATCACCTGAGAACTTTTCCCGGTCAAGCTGCTCTTCACGCCGCGTTTTACTCTTTTACATGAACAGCATCGGACGTGGCATTGAAGAAATGTAGACACCTAAAGGGCGATTGCACTTCGAGGCTGCGACAATGTACCGCCAATTGCAAGCAGAATTTATTCATGGTTTAGTAACCGCGGAGTGCCTGATTGTTAAACAACACGATAAAAATCAAGTAATCTCCACTCTCTCACTTACTTATTATGAAGGCAGAACCCGATTGGGAGCGTACCACAACTATAGGGGGTGCGCCGGTCCATACTGGCAACTAAGTATAGAGTGACCTTACTGGCAACTAGTTGACAGCGCCACCAATGACAGACCCCGCGTTACCTCGCAAACTGAAGCACTGCCCGCTCCCCTTGACCGAGTCTTCGCCTTCCTTTGGTTGCGTTTCTCGATCTCATCTCGCTCCGGAGTAAAAGTTCGGTACCTTGACATTTGAAAGCACATTCATGTCTAGCATCCCCGTGTATGTGTTGTCATGTTGTTACGGCGCCTTTTCGTGCGCTTTGCTTTGGGTGATAACATCGGACCATTTTGTTTCTAACGTTTTTGTTACATTTTCGTTCTGGGGCACTTGAAGGAGTGTCTCACTACACGCTTTTGTTATTGAGTGTGCAACGGCGGCACTTCGGTTACCGGAATTTTTCATGTATATTCCTCGTGAGCGCATGCTATCGGTATCGATACTACAGAAAAAATGGTTGTGGTGAATTGGGGTGAGCGTGGTGATTTCCACGGGCAAGAAAGAAAGCCTTCACTGAGGGAGAAGAAAAAGAAGGAGGTCGAAAAAGAAGAAGTGTGGAACTCGACGGGACAGCATCAGGCCGGCGGGCTGTGCCTTGCAACTTTACGCAAGGTCGTCCGTCGACAGGTCGACAGAGTCTTGCAGCTACACGCAAGACCCGACTACGAAGACGCCGCCCCCTAGCCACACGTCAACAGACGGGTTGAGACATCCAACCAAGCCGTCGCTGCAACGCTCGCCAGGCTTCGAACACTGTCGCATCGCTCCCCGGCAAGGCCTGTAGCAGTCTTATTTCATACTGTCAGTGACATTCGTTTGTGCGGTTTTTGTAATAATCTGTATATAATGTCTTAAATCTTTAATCATATTTATCGTATCCAACCACATTGTCTTCGTGTTCCGTCTCTCTGTGTCACACACCTGCGAGCGTGAACTAGTCCACCACAATGGTATAACCCTAGAATAAAGTCATTGAGGCACCATATCCCAAGAAAGTCATTGGGGCACCAAGAAAGTCATTGAGGCACCAAGAAAGTCATTGAGGCACCCCCGCAGCTGCGAGAGGCAGTGACAGCGCCTCAGCACCATGTTTTTGGTTGCTCTGCGCGGGAATATGCCTCTTGGAAGCGCTTGCGTATTCGACGGTCCGTAAATCATTACGGCACGACATTCAGCAGTGGTAGTAATTGATCAGTTCAATATAATAAGTATTTTTCGCTCCGCTCAATATCATATTGACCTTCGCTCGCGGGCAGATTATATGAACTTGCTGGAATTAAGACAATCGCGAACGTTTTCGCCAAAATATGAAGAGGATCAGCGTTTTCAATTTCCAGATGCTGTGTGGAAAAAAAAAAAAAGCGGCGACTGTGAATCTAAATTTTGTTAATGGCGCTTCACTCATGTGAGCTAATTAGCGTTATAGAAACTAAGGTTGGCTACAAAATACGATCTATGTGGGAAATGCTTCTATTAGGAAGCCGCACTATGCCATCACTGTCTTGTTGGACGCTGCCAATCGCGTTCACTGACCTCTTAAATGACAGGCTCCGTTTCGCAAAACACTGATGGTTTGCTTATCGCAGTTCCATATATATTACACTCGATGTCGCAAATAAGATACGTTTTATTTACTTAAACAATGAGCTCAGGAATCACCTAGCAATGATAACCTCAGAGTGGATGCTTCATATTAAAGAGCACACTTCAGCGATACGACGTGCAGCAAAGTTCCTTGACCTGGCCTACTCGCGACCCTTTCAGCGCCAGAAGTGAACCTTGCCGAAAATCCTGAGTTTAATGGGGCGGTGCAGTGCATTTTGAAGTTTCGGTAAATACCGCTTGCAATTGATCCTTCCGAACTGGAAGTTACAAATGACGCGTTGTTTTTTTCTTCCAAGCAATGATAGT